ATAAGATTGGTACAAAAATAAATTCCTTCTTTAAAGCATCAAATGATGCTTCTACTTCTTTATTCCACTCAAGTTTGTTTTTACAAGTCAAACGTGTAAGTAGAGCTACAACTTGAGAAAAATTCTTAATGAAGATTCGATAGTAATTAGCAAAGCCCAAAAAATATTGCACATCTCGTATTATTTTTGGAATCTTTCAATCTATGATAGTTTGAACCTTCTTGAGATCCATCATATGGCCTTTGTTGGAAATGATGTATCCTAAAAAGTCAACTTGAGTAGTGTGGAATACACACTTTTTCAACTTGGCATATAATCTTGCATCTCTAAGTTTTTGTAATAGGTGACGAACATGAAGCTCATGTTCTTCTATATTCTTAGAGTAGATTAGAATGTCATCTAATAACAAACAACGAAATCATCTAAAAACTCATGAAAAAAATCATTCACAAGATGTTAAAAAGTGGACGGTGTATTCGTGAATCCAAAAGGCATGATATTATATTCAAAATATCCATACCTAGTTCGAAAAGCAATCTTTTATTCATCTCTTTCTTTGATACGAACTAAGTTGTATGCTCATCGTAGATCTATTTTGGTATAGATCTTTACTTGATTGAGTTGGTCAAGAAATCCTGAAATCAAAGGCAAAGGATACCTATTTTTGATGGTGATCTTGTTGAATCTTCGATAATCCACACACATTGGCACAGATCCATCTTTCTTCTTCACAAATAAGATAGGAGCCCCAGTTGGAGATTGAGAATGGCATATGAAGTTCTTTGCCAAATTTTCATCAATGTACTCCTTTAATACAGCCAATTCATTTTACAGTAAGCTATAGATTGGTCTGAATGGTAGGTGAGATCCTTCTTGCAGATCAATTGAACAATCATAAGGTTGATGCTTGGAGAGAATATTTACATTCTTCTTTTCAAAAATATCTTCAAATTCTTGATATTGCTTAGGAATACCACTCGACATTGTTTCACCATTAGAAATGGGTGTAGCATATATAGCAAAAGATGATCTTTCTTTTGCAGCATGCATGAAAGTTTTTGTACCTACTAGTAAAGGTTTAGATGTACTAGACTTACATAATTCTACTTTGCTAACATGATCTTAGATTATACTATCAAGAAAGTTAAGGTTATAAGAAATTCAATCTATTTGAGGGTTATATTTTTTTAGCCATAATAATCCTAAAATAACCAGATTAGAGGGAGATTTTATTACATTAAATACTACTACGTTGTTATGATCTTTAATTGTTATATCTAAAAGAATAGTTTCATGGGTAACATTTTTAGAAGATAACAAATGACCATCTATGACTTCTACATGTACAGATTTAATTTTCTTTACTAAAGGTATTAATTGATTTTTGGCAAAATCTTCGTCTATAAAACATGCTGAGGCTCTTGAATCTAATAAAGCAAAGACTTTTTGATTATTAGGTCCTAAATATACTTCTATTATAAAAAAAAGTGAGGAGACTTAGGCGAGGATAGGACCTTTACTAGGTATTGCACATGATTCTAGCCACACGATCCCTATTGTAGTTGGAGAAACTCGTTTTTTGACACATTATCTTCTTTGGTAATTATGCTCCTTATTTTGTAACTGTGATGCTTCTTTGGATAATATTGAGCAGTGTGCTTAGCTTCTCCACAATATAAATATAACCTCTTTTGGCGACGTCGAGTCTTTTTTTGCTTTGTGAGAGGTTTAAAACATATCATATCAATTTGCATTGGTTTCAATTTTGATGAATATATTTCAAAAAACTTGAGAGTTGTTGCCATTACTTGACTTGTTCCTCTCTAATTAAATCTTTGTTCTTGATGCCTTTCAAATAAATGATTATCGTATGCAATGGCTTAAGTAATAAATTATTCTAAAGATTCTACTTTTGGTATTGTTAATAATAAATCTTTGATGCTATCCTTCAATCCATATCAAATTGGTTGATAAGTGCTTTGTCGTTCCAGTCCACGTTGCAAGCAAGATTTTGGAATTCGGCAGCATATGTAGTGGCTGATTGCAATCCTTGTCATAAGGATAAAATCTTGGTCTCTGCTACTCGTTCTCGATCACTTTCTCCGAATGTGGTTGTAAACACTTCTAGGAATGAATTCAAATCATAAAGGAGTCGTGAATCTTTTTCCACTAAAGATACAAACCAAGAGAGAGCACTTCTTGATAGTAGTGCACCTATGAATCTGACTTGGGTAAATCCATCAAGATATTGGAAAAGTTGCAATCTTAGATAAAGCTTGACTTGTTGCAAAAATCCTCAAAATTTTAATCTTGTTCCATCAAACTTCTCAAGCATACTAATCCTTGTCCCTGTCATACTTATAGAAGCAAAACTCATTGGATTTGGTTGTGACGTTGATCTACTTGCTTCTTTCAATTGCAGAACTTCTTGCCGCAAACTCTGAACTTCTTCCATATGCATAGGCATAGTACTTCTATGATTCATGATGGAAATACATGAGATTTCTACTCTTAGAGTAGTGACAAGCACATGAAGATTTGCCATAGTTGCAAATCTATTCTCACTTCCGTTGAGAGTAGCATCCATAATCTTTCCTTCCATAGACAACTCAAATAAATTCAAAAGTTAAATTAGAGGAGGATAATCCATAACCTCTAAAAATAAATCCTACAAAGAGAGGTAATCCACTCTCTTTAAGAAAAAGATCAATGTTAAAAAATAAGATTTTTTGTTTAAAGGTAGATAGTCCGTAACCTTCAAAAGACAGCAATAAAAGTGGGATAATCCACTCACTTCTAAAATAAGATAAAAATAATATATTAGCACTCTTGTCAAACTGTCAAGGACATGAATCAAGAAGAATCCAAAGATCAAGACAATCTTATGTCACTCGAAAAGACTAAAAAATCACTCAAAGTTCGTGCTATATTGAACTAGAATGGCTATTACCAAAAACAAGAACACTAGAAAGTCTTGAAAGAAGATTAAGAATTAGAAAGGCATTGACAGGAGTAAAGAAGGCTTCACTCTTGCCTCTATATATACTATCTAACTAATATCTATGTGGTGATGTCCTATAGGACCTCCAACATGTATTGACTTTGCTAACCACATGTCTTATCTTGCAAGGCAAGTTATCTATGTATGCACCACATAGTTGACTTGTTCCACAAGCTACTATACGAAGATAACTTGTTCCACAAGCTACCAATATATGGTTAGCTTTTTGGCCAAGTTTCTAACCTACAAACACATCTAAAGTCAAAACCACATTTATAAAGCTTCTAGGAAGCTTCTTTAGAAGATTTTATGAAACTATTTTATATTTATCTACTTCTACTTAATCATATAAGTAACTATTGAGGTAAATATATATGTCCGTGATACCTTTCATTCAAATGAACTCCACTGCTTCATATTATTGTGAAATAAAATATGTAATAAGTTTTTAAAAATATACATTTATATATTCTAAATATATATATCAAATCTTACTTTCTAAAATACTACTTATTATGTTCTAAAATTATTCAAAATTATTGCTTATAAAATTCATAGCAACTGATCCACCATTGACTCAAGTAAATATCATGGCTCCATACTATCTTAGAATAGAACATGTAATACCTCATTAAAATGCTAATTATTTATTCTATATGCACATCAAAGCTTATTATCAAAAAAAATCATGTATATTACCTTATAAGCAATCAAATTTATTGTACATAATAGCTCTTGATAATATGTGGCAAGTGACACCTTTCTTAACCCAACTAGGTGCTATAGCTCCATACTTTGTTAAATTTGAGCATATAATAGTTCTTTAGAAATCTACTTAGTATATATATATATATATATATATATATATATGAATAAAATTTCAATTCCTAAAATTTTCTATAACATACTTTGTGAGCAAACAAAGCCATGGATTATGTAAAAACAAGGCAAATGATTCTTCTTTATTCAAAAAGACTCCACAATTTCATACTAACTTTTCTTAGAGCAAGTAGGAGCTTTCTAAAAAGCTTATAAAAAAGAAAATATGTTCTTAAAATCTAAAATCTAGATTCTAAATATTCTATGAAAAAAAACCTTAGAAGAATGGTTGGCTATATCTAATGGAAGAGAGCCCAAACAAAAGAGAAGGACAAAAGAGTCCAAAAGTCAATACAGGCCCATGTTTTTCTACTTCAATCCATATTACTTTACTTCAATACCATACTGCTCTATTTCATGTTCACTTCAATCTATTTTGACTTAACTTTGGATATAAACTATTAATATCTATAACTATTTGATTACTATTTTTTGCCATTGAAAAAGTTTTTTATTTTTACAATAATGTAGTAAATTCTTTAATTTATTTTTATTTTTATTTTTATTTTTTTTCTAATTATTTCTATTAATTATAAATTTTTTTAAATTTTTTTTTTAAATTAATAATCATAAAATAGAAGATTTAGAACAAAAAATATTTGAGCTAAATGCAACTATGAAGGTATAATTAAAAGAAGCCCAAGAATGACATAAGATTAATGCATATGCCTATTGTAAGAAACTACCTTGATTCTATGTTAGAAATAATGTATAATTACTTTGTTGTAATATCAAGAATAGTTGCCCTTGTGGCAAATTTGATTACTATAGACTTCAATTATTTCTTATTTGTGAACCAATCAATCTAGTGGCATTTTGATTACACCTATTGGAGTCTAAGAAAATCCATCTTATGTTCTATATGTCTTTCCTTAAGCCATATAAGACAATGAATATCCTAAGAAAAAGATAAATACTATTTTGACTTATAAAAGATAATAATCAAGAATTTTAAATGGAATAAGTTTTAGACTTAAGGCAGCACCAACTTAGGCTAAAAAATCTTATTCATTGGTATAAATATGATACTAATAAGTACATATGTGAGCAAGCCAAAAATCTTATAAATAAAGCAAAGAAGATCAAAGTTTTTCATCAATAAAATCTATCAAAACAAAAATAAAGAGTCAAAAAATTTCTTATTATAAAAGAATAAAATTTAATTTAGAAACAGCACGCTCGTCAGAGCCGGAGCCTCCCTGCGGGAGCTGGATGGCCCGTTCCCACCCGTCACCCGAGCCTCGTGACCATCTCGAAAACTGTGAGACTTATCTAAACTTACACCGAAGTTCCGGTGCGAACCCCCGCCAGCATTGTGCAGACCTACATCGGGACTGCTCAATTTCGTAAGATCCAACCTCTGTATGGATGCCATCGTTTCGCCACGGCACCACAACGGTGCCACAGACTTCGCTAGCTCATCCCCTTCAGCTCGATCCTCAAAATATTGTCACGTGCTCCAAGTCCTCTCCCTGACCATGCATCATCTAACTCCACCAGATCAGGCATGCAGTAGATGTTATAATTGCTGTATCTGTCACGCTTGCTATGGGCCGTGCCTCAACCATTGCCTGCTATCTAGGGTGTGCAGAAAACCATTCAATATCGCCTTCCATTCTCCAGAAATGAATTATGTACACAGCACTTGGGCGCCCTCTCAACACCGGATTAGGTTACCTGCACAGAAGCGAGGGCGCTTAACAGGGGAAGTGGAACGAACTATCCTTTTGCTCACCCCTCATACAGTGGAGGATTAAGGAGCCTTCTGTTGCCATACATGCCAGAGCACTACAGCATTTCCTAATTCAAATATGACGCAGCCAATTTATCTGTGGCTAGCATGAATGTCGCCAGCCCATCTCTCGGACTTGAAACCATACTATACAGCATAGGAGCGCCACTATTTAAAAACCTGCGAGGGCGTAATCATCATCCATAACAACTGGATGACCATCGCCAGGAGCGGGTACATGCTGTGAGGAAGAAATCTCTGTGGTCTAGAGTACAAGCTGAGATACTAACATACTCTCCTACAGTGTTTCCAAGTGGGATTTTGCAGTGATAATACAAGTACGATGAAACCCCACGCATTGTGAACAGTCATTCAGGCTGGACTTTGATCAGCGTGTCGTTCGTTAATCGGATCCCAAATTGGCGATCAGGAGCTGGAACCGCGATGTCCATCGCCATCCCAGCATAGCTACACTGAAAGCTTTAGCTCACAGCCCTGGAACGCATGCGAAGATGTGGCAATTGCGAGTGACGTACCTGGCGGGGGCGAATGGATGCACTGGATGGGACTGGTGGTATTGGCGAACGACGTGCAATTTACTCTGGAAAAAATAGCTTGAACCGCGGCCATGGAAGTGCGCAAGTACAAGCACATCAGCAACGGGATGCTGGCGGGGGCGATGCAGAGAGCTACAACGGGGAGATGGCGATGGCGAGAGGTTTGGCTAGGGTTTGAAGAAGGCATGGCCTGGGATTTGGTCCACAGTCATGAGAAACCATACCATACCATACCATGCCAAACCAAACCGAAGTCTGAAGAAACCGAGACCAGGCAGACGAAGCCCGCGGACAAACCCCCCCCCCCCCCCCCCCCTCGTCCCCAGTCCGCCGTTTCTCGTCCGTTCGTCCGTCCACCACTACACTTTCTCTCCTGTGTCTTCGGAAGTGCAGTGGAGTGCAGAGTTGATAAAACACAGAAAAAAGGTATCCTCCTAATCTTAGTGCACTCATATAATGTCATGATCATATTTTATCTGTATTTAATTTTTTCCATTCAAAATTTGAGATGACATGTAATTTATATTTTTTTTGTATTTGAAATGACATGTAATATATATTTTTGTATTTGAGATGACCTGTAATTTATATTTTTTTAATTCAAACTTTGAGATGACTTTTAAATCAAGTAACCAAAGAATTCAAGTTTTTTTTTTTGTTAATGGTATATACCAATAGAAGAATTTGTGTATATATTGTAGTAAATTAAATTGGAAAGTGTAAGATTATTGTCTTGATCCAAATTGATCTCTGGCTTAAATTGCAACAAGAGTTTAATATATTTTTATTGGTTGATTTCTTTATTTGTATAAAAGTTTTCAAATATTACAGTCTTAATAATTGTGTAGTCAAGAATTTTTCATTTCACGTGTAAAAACTATTGCATTATTTGCAAATGAGATTGTAGAGTTTAAGGTGCGTGAAGCAACAAAGATTGACATATTTGCTAATGAACCACATTTATATCTTCTGAGTGACATCACCATTGGTGCAAATTGCAATGGTAATGTGCTCTTTATTATACTTGTGTCTTTTAAGTTATATTGTGGCCAAAAAAATCTTTGTTTGCTTTAGAATATTTATCAATCTACCAATCTCACTATAATATTCATCATTCCTTAAATGCAACTCGTGCAAATGTTTACTTATATATGATAAAAATGACCAATTTCATCTATATTCTAGATATTTTCCTATTCAAATTTATTAAGGATATTAAAAAGAATAGGCAATGCATTAATAAGAGCCACAATGCCAACCAAAAAACTCTCTTCAAAATTGTGAAAGGATTTGATGTCATGTCAAGTTTTGAAAGTTATAAGTCATCTATTAGAAAAGTGGAATAGATCATGTTCTATATAGAATTGGTCTATAATGCGTGTTACACTCTTGCAAATTAGATCTTTGATGGAATTGACATGCTCTTCATTTGCATTAAATTAGTCTACAAGTGTCCCCTCTATTAACATGTATTTTATTTTTTATTCGCATTTGGCAGCTTAGTGGGTATCTAATGTAGTGTTGAGCAACTTTGCAAATTTCTTCAACATCTTTGAGATAGTTGACAGGTCTATGGATAAAATGTGTGTATATTAGAGCAATTTCTTTAATTTGTGTAACTTAAAGTGAGGATTCTTTTCAAAATGCTTGCAAAATTTTAAAAAAATATTGTATGTTATGGTTGAATGCTTTTCCTCTTTTATTGGTGCTATGTGGCAGCAAAGAATGTGATAATAAAATAAAATAAAATAATCTTGGTGTAGAAGCAAGATATGCCTATTAGAGAGAATTCAAAAGCTAATCCTAAGTCTTATCAAAGAGTTTCATAAATATGCACCCTAAGTTTGTAAGTAATATTAACTTATTGACCTTGCCTTATATCATTCCCATCCTAAAATCATACAAAAACTTTGGTGCTATGCATATAATTTCAGATAGGTTTTGATGTATGCCTATATATATGGTTATAGAATAATATATTTTTATTTTATTTTTATTTTTTAAAAATTATATTTATTTATATTTTATACTTTAATAAATAAATAAATTATAAAAAAATAAAAATATATGGATTTTTTATTATTTTATATTTATTATTATGTATATGTATGTAAAATGTGCATGGAAGTTTTTTCCTCATTCTAAGAGAACCACCTATTTGCACCAATGAACTTCAAAACATTATGCATACATGAATTCTCTATTTGACTTATTCTAATCAATCTTAGAAGTTCTTATCCTACAAATTTTGAAGAAAAATCTTTTCTAATACATGTCTATCTAAAATTTCTTAAGCATAGTATATAATAGTATTGTATGTCTAATATAAGAAATTATACTCTTCTAGATTTGGATTAAATACAATGCATCATGCAATATAAGAAGTAAGATGCTTACTCCTATTCTATTCTGTTGGAGAAGTTGACAAAATAAAAATAAAAACTACACTTAATACAAAACTTTAGAAAAGGAATGGGTAAATAGATATATATATTTTAAAAAAATAAAATAAAAAAATAACACACTAACCCCATCCAAATACACATATATACACACAAGTATCTATTTAACTTTCTTCTAATGCATATCAAACATTGTTTGTATTATTGATTTATATTGATTCTATAATATTAATATAATTTATTTTTTTGTTTTATTTTTACTTAAGTATTATAAATTATATTTAATTACGTATGAAATCAACGTCTAATTGATAAAATATATTCCTAAATTATATGTAATTTAAAAAAACATCTTAAAAAGATATAGATTTTCAAGGTATAGGGAATTAAGATTACATTCCAAAAATAATAAGAGGATTTCTAAGCTATTTGAAATAAGATAATTTATCTAAGTCCACAATACGATTGTTAATTATTGCTTATGTTAGATAAGTCATATATGCATCCTTTTCTTTATTATTATTAATTCATAATATGCAATAGATGATACAAATTTTGTGGTTTCTTTTTTTCTTTTTTTCTTTTTTTTTTCTTTTTAATTTTCACTTTCTACATGTGTCTATATTACTTTTTTCTTATACTTCACATGCTTTGCTAAATAATTCAAAAAAGATTCATTAGTTCTTAAATAATAATTATTTATTCTACTATCGTCTTTATAAATTTAAGTATTCTTAGAAATATCCATTTCAATATTCAAAGATGTAAATATAATTCTAAAACAAAACCTAAGAATTTAAATACATATTAATATTTAATAATGATAGTAGTTAAAATATTGCAAAAAATGTAAACTAACTTTAGGAGTTATATGGATCAAATGCAAATATATATTGGTAAAAACATTTGGTCTTATAGATAAGAAATTTGAATTTATTAATATATATATATATATATATATATATATATAGATATATATAAAAATAAAATTCTATATTAAACTTATAGTTGCAATGGCTTTACAACAAAAAATAAAACATTGATCAATTAATTGGAATTAAGAAGGGAACCACATGTATTATATTTATATTTATGTATATAGTAAATGTAATATTTTTACTCAACAATAATTAATTATCTGATAACATATTTTAAGGTGCAATACACAATATATATGGTTCTAAACTTAAAACAAGCATCTATTGAGAACATATAATAAGTTACACATAAACTTTGTATAAAATATATATTTTTTACAAAGCAATTGACAAAATATACTATGAAATTGATTTAATATTATATGATTTCTACTCTCTATTTTTTTGTATTATAAACCTTTTTTATGTATTATATTTTGTACATTATCATCTATTTTGCTCTTACTATGTATGCTTATAAAACTATTGTATACATATCATTTCTAGATGTTGATAATAATCATATATTAAAAAATTAAGAAAAATAACAATTCCAATAATCAAGAAATATGGAGCTCATTACTTCATCGTCTTCTCTATCTAAACATAAAGAAAATATTATCTTCCATGCTTGACGTAGACAATGGCAAAAAAAAGAAAAAAAATGTTATTTATCTAAACATAAATAACTTGACATGAACATACAAAGGTTACACAATGCATGCATGTTATCAAGTGGTCAATCATTTGCACAAGTGGCAATCTTAGCTTAACCAAGTACTGCCACTTTACCATCATCAATCAAAGTGGGCAAGTGTGGTCATTCACTCCAAAGACTAATTCACGCATTATATATCTTACATAGAAGCAACTGACTGCATCTTTCATGGGCATCCCAAGACTATTCAATCCAAAATGATTGTGCGTGCGTCCAAGACTATGTTGCAACCATGAGTGGGAGCTCCTTCAAACAGAAACAATTAGCATTACCAGTAAAGGCAGTGTGTGTCATGGCGTCATGGTTCCTCTGCCACTGACGCTTCTGTGGTAACTCAAGGCGCCACCCAAACTTGCTTGTAAGCCTCTCGTCTGGTATACTTCACGCGTTGGGTTCAGTCGCGATGATTCCGTTCGGCTTTACCAGTGCGTTCAATTCGGTGACTATGTCCAAGTGTACATTTCCTGTAGAGTGAAGAAGACGAGATTCTTCTTGTCTACGTATCAGCACTTGTTGTAAGTATTTCTCGATTTAAAAAGATGGGTTTACACTGCGCACCTCCGCATACACACCTGGCGGAACTGGCTTGCAACATGTTCACTATTTATTCATATCAGCTTACATTCGTCGGTCTAATCACTTATCCGACATCGGGATTAGTCTCAACCTGCTTCGACAACGAATCGTAACCACGACAAACCTACTTGTGCAAAAGCAAACTTCCGTTCTGCACACTTGCTGATGCATTTACCCTCGGCTTACATTTCCAGCTCGGTAATGACATCGATCCACTCACTTACGGATCTTCTCATTACGAATTGAACGTTCGCCATTCAGGTCGGTGAATGTTTACCCCGCCAGGCACAAACCATCATGCACGAATCAGGACATGCGATTCATTGGAGGGGGAGGGCGAAGAAGCAGCAGAAGAAGAAAGGTAGTGCTGCCATCTGTAAAACACCAAATTCACAAAGGCGCAGTGAAGCTGAGCTGGCCTTCCGGTGGTCCTCTCCGAACAGGGCTTCAGCAATTGGGCCCGGCATGCCCCGAGGCTCATCTGTCTATGAGCTAATATCCGCTTGATACACGTGGTTGGACTCTCTGAGGTTCAGGGTAATCTGTGGCTGATTCTAGGCGTAGCCTCACACGACAGAGGAGACAGCTTGTGCGTCGTCAAGTAAACCACATCCTCGATCTTGTTGTTGATGTTGCTGATCTCCTGAGGAGACAATCGCCACTCGCAATG